TTGACCCCTTTGTTTTCTCATGCCAGAGGACTTACACAAGGGGATCCAATGTCCCCATATCTATTTGTTTTATCAATGGAGTATTTGAGTAGATATCTTGTGGAGTTAACTCAGGGATTCAGATTCCATCCTAAGTATAAATCTATGCATATATCACACATATGCTTTGCAAGTGACCTTATGCTCTTTTGTAGGGGTGATGAATGCTCTGTTTCTCGCTTATACAGCAAGTTTAAGCATTTCTTTGATGTATCTGGTTTATGTGCAAATGATACAAAGAGTCAAGTTTTCTTTGGGGGTGTGGAACATGTTGTTAGACAGAGAATTCTTATGATTTTGAACTTTGTTGAAGGCACCTTACCTGTCAAATATCTGGGCATCCCCTTGTCTTCTAAATCCTTGACAGCTCATGAATATGTGAGGTTCTGATAGAAAGAATGACAAAAAGAATTACTGGTTGGACATCAAGATTCATATCTTTTGCAGGAAGGCTTCAATCAATCAAAGCAGTTCTTTTCAGAATGCACAATTACTGGGGAGTTATATTCTTGCTGCCTAATAAGGTTATCACAATAGTGGAAAAATCCTGAAGCTTAGAGAGGAGGCCTTGCTCTCTGTTGAATATTCTGGCAGTGATATCAAATAGAGAGGTAAAGGCCTTATTTTAGTACATCATCTACCTATAAGCTGCTGGCTGGTGCAGGGAAGAAAAAGAAATGCGCAAAGTTGGTTTGGAGCAGGTTTGCTTTTCCCAAACATGCATTCATTTATTGGGTGGCCTGCTTATATAAAGTACCCTTCAAATCTAAATTGATCCAATTGTGGATCTTGAATGAAGATTTATGCCCTATGTGTTCTTCATATTCTGAAAATAGAAGTCGTATGTTCTTTGAATGTGACTTTAGCTCCCAGATTTGGACCCATGTCATGCCTTTTGTTCAAACTCATAATGTAGCTGTTTCATGGCATGATGACATGGATTTCCTGTATTTCTTACATCAAGAGGGCAGTAGCTGTTGTGTGCGTCTATTACATTTGACTTGCAAGAAACAGACTTGCCTTCCAAGGTAAACAGAGAGTTGTTGAGGAGTGTATAAAGCTTATCACCTTTGACATAAAAATACAATGTAGCAGGATCTTTGAGGTGAAGGACACAAGGCTTAATAGGGACTGGTGCAAGGCAATGAGCATATATCCCAGCTTTTGTGCTTAGAGTTGAGTTGTCGCTGGAGGTTGTTTATTTTTGTTCATCGTTTTGGAGAGCTTTTGAGAGATATGTTCTATTGTTACGTGAGAAGTCTCAGTTTTGTTGTGTATGACTCTTGGCTTCTGAGAATTCATACTTGAGTGTACAATTTGTATTTGCTGACTCTACTTCGGCAATAAGAAATCACATGTGAAGTCAAGAAATCTACAATTTGATCTGTGCCACCTCATCTAAACCCACATCATCTAAACCCAGCCAGGTTAGTTAAATAAAGCCACATCAGCGTTCTAATACCCTGTTCTAATACCCCCAAAATTAAGTTATGTTGAGGTTACTTGCAACTTTTCCACAAATAATTTTGCTAGCGGCAAAGAAAAAAATGTCTAATTACACATTTTACGCAAATTTAATACCAAAAAATCGTCGGGGAATCTTTTAGTACCAAACTGGTTAGGGGAAAGTGGTGGAGCCAGGAATTCTTTGAAGAAGGGACTGAAAAAATAATAATTAAATACAAAAACATATTAAAATAGAGCACAGGGAACGCTCACAAGAAACCCAAACGACTCCCACCATATTCGTGTTTCCGAACTGTTTGCAAGAAATCCAAATGGAGGAGTTTTAAGAAAGTTGGGAAATCTTACATTGCATACATCTATGATTTATAAAATTATTACTAAGCATAGTGATATGAGACAAATTCAAAGCTTATTTATATGCAGCGGATACGCTACATAAAGGAAGATAAAGTTATTAGGAATTCAAATTTGATTGTATCTTTTATGTTTAGATAGGATAATTGATTAAATTGACTTACCTAGATTTTCCAGGTTAAGAGTGTTATCTTCGATTTGGAATTATACTAGTATTAGATCATGAATTAAATTTTAAATTCTAAGTTTGAATTTTAAAATTGTATTAGAGATCATAACTCTATATAAAAAGAGTTGTGTTTTTCATTGTTCTAGGAAGGAAGAGAATTTATGAAGAAGTTGAGAAAAGTTAGCACTAGATTTGTTATTTTGATGGACATGTGAATTGACTTAGAAAATCCAAAAGATTAAGTGTTTCTGTATTTCACTATAATCTTAGATTGTAGAAGAATTAATCTTTACTTTATCATTTTACTATACCATCCTACACGAATTGTTTCATTCTTAATTCAATCATTGTCACCCCAATAGATGACTAAACCCAAACTTTCCCAAAAGGCTGCCCACATGATCATGCCTCCTTTATGAAGAAAAAGAAAGAAAGAAAAACAAAGAAAGCCCAAACTCCCAAGACACCAAACTTCCAAATAAAAAGAAAGAGAGAAGTCCCTTCACAACTCATCCCCTACCTCAATCTTCAACTCCCAAATCCAACTCCAAGCCCAACAGCCTACGTAGCTAACTTCATTTTTTAAGATGAGGCTAAGGTCCCTTTGGCCCCAAATTAGGTCCGCCTTGGTTACAAAAAATACCAATTTGATAATTTAGGGTGTGTTTGGATACCAAGGCGATTTTTTTTAGTGTTTTTTAGAAAAACACCATGCCAAGGTGTTTCTTTTTCAAAAGTGTTTTGAAAACACCATTGTTAGTTATTATTATATAGCGACAGGACGGCGGCGTGATTGCGGCCTGGCGACGGGCTGCGGGCGGAGCGGGTGGCGGGTCGGAGGCGGCGACCCGCCGCGGCAATGCGGCGGCGGCCGATGGGCGGGTGCGGCGGGCGGGCTTTTGGGCGCACGGTTCGCGCTAACGGGCGATCGACCGGCACCGCGTGGCGCGGTCATGGGCGGCGGCTGCTGACGGGTCGCGCCGGTGGACGCGTCGCGGCGCGTCGTCGGCGGCGCGGCGCGCCAGCGAGTGGCGGCGGCAGCGGGAGCGGCGGCGCGCGGGCGAGAGTCGACGACGGGCGGGCGGCTGGCCGGCGGTCGGTGCGCGGAAGGCGGGCAGGCGGCGACGGGCCGGCGGCTAGCGAGCGGCGGCGGCAGTCGGGCCGCGCGGTGGTGGACACCCGCCGGCGGCGACGTGGGTGGCAGGCGTGATGCGACAGGCTGGCAACGGACGGGCTGGCGACGGCGGTCGTGGCGCGGGAGGCGGCAAGCGGCGGCGCGGTGGCGGCGACCCGCCAGCGACGGCCGTCGGTGGCAGCGGGCGCGGGCGCGCGGAGACATACCATGTAGGCGGCTGGCGCGTGGCGCAGCCGCGCGCGGATGGATCTCCCCCGGTGCGGCGGCGGGCAAGCGAGCGGCGGCGACTTAGATGAAAAAAACGGAATCTCAAAACACATTTTTGGTGTTTTGAGAAAAGTGTTTAATTTTTGGATTTTGTAAATGGTCAAGTCAAAAAAACACCCCGGTTGCCAAACGCGTTTCATTGTTTTTTTTTAATACGGAAACGACAAAAACGTCATGGTATCCAAACGCTCCCTTAGTCATTTCAAATGTATAGTCTACTTATTGCTACTCTACCTAAATAACTAAAGGCTCACTTGAACCATAAAGTCTAACCTAATAGGTTGTGCGTTACAATGTGGGCCTATGGGCTATAGTTAAATATGTAAACTATTGACCACTTATAGGACATATAGGATATGTTCCTTGATTGAAATTCCAAGGACTGTTAGTCAACTGGAACATTTTCATTCGAACTAGGAACTTAATATGGGATATTTTTTTGCAAAGAGATACTTTAGTGGGATAATTATGAATATGGGATAATTATGAATATTTTGTGAAGCGGGATATCTTGATAAAACTCAGGATAAAAGCTATTTTCTCATAAAGGCAAAATAAATAAACGGCAAAAGTATTGATATATTTTCTTGAAGTCCCTTCGCTGCTCTACACTTTGAAGTTACAACAAGAAGACTTTAATTTTTATATGTTAACACATTTTAATTGTTGAGGATGAAATTTGAATGTTAAATCTATAGGACCTCTTGAAAATTATTGCTCCGGTACTATGTCAGGTAAACACGTCTTGCAGAACTTTAAGGAATGGATTAAACCTCATAACGTAAGAGCATCTTGAGTCATAATATGACTTTTATGATGTTTGAAATGTAAGTTACAGTAAGTATATGTAAATTACAGCATGCAATTTTACTTACATTATGCTTCTGACAATACATTAGAGACAATTCAATTTCCTATACCATTTCCCCCCAAATTCATGAAGACTTGATTCTGTTGTAGGATATTGATGGTTTGTTTCCTAGACAAATGGAAAATATATCCTAACTAGCTTCAAGGAATTATGGCAATCCCCTCAAACTCATAGTTGCCATGGCCTAGTTCTTCTTTTGATACTTATGTGATTATGTGAATCCTTCTCAAAACAAACCCATTTGCTTAAAAGGCTTATAGGATGGTTGCAGAAAGCGACAATGAAAGTTGTAGACAATGTTAGCTCATGAAAATAGCAATGTCTATATTTGTTATTTGCCTAGCAGCCGGAGAGAAACGAATAAGTACAGAAACATGACATCAAGATGTACATCTACCAGTTAATATTGTTTGCTTGCTAAAGAAGAAAGGTCTAGCTCATATCTGACACTGTTTTTGTTAATTAGGACAAAAGTAATCATTTAATATGCCTAAATAAAACTCTATCAACTGCTAGACAAGATGTTTATACGACCATATGGAAAAATATTTAATAAGACAATCAATAAAGGAATAGATATTGGCAAATCAAGTAGTTCCTATCATGGTAATAAAACAACCAATTATGAAATGATAAATTCTTAAATTTGAAATGCAAAAGAAGTCAAATCAAATTAGGAACCAAAGTAAGAACCTTACCCATGAAATAAGATTTTGTTCTCCATGTGCTTTGGTGCTATCAATGGCCCTCCTTCCAGTAATCAACTCCAATAAAACAACTCCAAAGCTATAGACATCAGACTTCACCGTCAACTGCCCAGTCATAGCATACTCTGGAGCACAATATCCATAAGTTCCCATCACCCTTGTTGAGACGTGAGATTTATCACCAACAGGACCAAGCTTTGCAAGCCCAAAGTCAGAAAGCTTCGGGTGAAAGCCCTCGTCCAATAATATATTGGAGGACTTGAAATCTCTGTAGATAACTGGAGGATTAGCTTTATCATGGAGGTACTCCAATCCTTTTGCCGCACCAGCTGCAATCTTCATCCTTGTATTCCAATCTAGTGGTTCCTTATCATCAGGGAGATCTTTACCAAGAAGAAATTTTAAATTTATGTTAAAAAATAATTTCCAGATAATTATTTTGCATGTAAATGCCAAATAATACAAACATTTGCATTAGAAATGACATGAACTCAATAGATATGGCAACTTTAAAAAGTCAACAGACATCATAAGAGAACAAAAAAATTACTAACATCTACTTATTTTTTTTCTCTTAATGAGAATAAAGTCTAATTCGCAAATTGTGTTAGTCAAAATCATAGGATCTGAATAATTTGCAAGAGTCCAATTAATTGAGCCCATATGAGGTTTAGGTTTAACTTTGTAGAAGGATGGCTGCGTTTCAAAGTATATGAGGGAATCTGTTTGTCCTAAATTACTACTATCAGAAGAATTTTAGGAGGGACAACGGACGAGCCATGTCAAATAGTAATTAAACCCGGTATCACTGTATCAGCCTTGGATGCTTTTGGTTAGTAGATAACCAGCTTCACTTGATATTTATCAAGGTTTTTTTACTTACATATAGATCGTCACTCCTCGGTTTACTAACTTATTGTTGCAAAAAGTTTAAGGTTAACTCCATACCCCCTTGTATTATGGCATTGCATCACTTATTACCCCTAAGTTTGATACTCGATGATAGAACCCACCAAGAAATAAACGCCATTAGAGATTTGTGGCAGATAGACCCTATGTATTATTACATTCCGCCCCTTCCTTCTTAGGTGGCTGCTTCATCTCTGCCACCACATCGCTGGAAACAGTGTTAGGCGGAGTGGAGGGCAAGAACCACATGTAAGGATGCTTGGAGGGCAACAATCGCGTTCAGTTTAGTTTGGGGGTCCTCCAAGATCAAAGTCAAACTTAAGGGGTAACAGGTGAACATTGCGATAGGTTAAGGGGTTTATGTGCAATTAACCAAAAAAATTATAAGCATGAACTTTCACCAAAATTTTGGAGTTTTGGTATTGTGGAAAGGACTTTGCGATGGTATCAAAGACTCGCCTAAAATTCAACGAAAAAAAAATAAAACAAAACAAAACATAAAAACACAACATGCGCACACACCTCGACCATAGTATGTTATCCCTCAGCATAAAAGGAATCACTATTATCATTATTATTGTTATTATTATTTATTAGATTTATTGCTCATATCTACTTGGGTTGAATTTCTTGATCTCGATAATACTAGAAAAAACAATCAGTCTGAAGTATCCAGTATCCATGTTATTATTTTGTCTATTCTATGATACTCTTACATTTTTAAAAGAATACAATAGAGGAGTCAAAGTATAATTGAACTTACATATACAACCCAAAAAAAAAGAACTTACCATTGGTTCATTTATAATTCAAGACGAGAAAGATAAAAGGAAAGAAACAGAAGCATTAATAGTTATCGCTCAATCTAGAACCATAAGAACCGACACTTTGACATTGGCAAATCCAAAAGAAAAAAAAAGCATATGTACCAGATAACAAGAACTATCCATGTGATCAAGTAGAAATAGTACCAAGCAAATGATCTTCCAAACATCCAAAGGGCATAAACTCGTATACAAGAAGACGTTGATCTCCATCAGCACAATAACCAATTAGATTAACAAGGTTGGGGTGATGTAGTAGGCTAAGCATGAGGACCTCCACCAGAAATTCTCTATTTCCCTGGAGCCCATTCCTATCAAGTTGCTTTATAGCCACCACCTGTATTGCCAGTAAATGGTACCAATCAAAGTAACATTCGAACATCAGTTTGATGCTATCAAGTGCTATCTTGAGTGAGCATCCCCCAATTCTTAAATTATTTTGAATTTTTTCTCTTGAATCATTGAAATTGCTATTAGGTCACCTAATTCTCATAAGTTGTTTCAAATTAATCACACTAATTGCTGCTACTTCTACTCTTGTTTGGAGAACTAGTTTGAAAATAACTTAAGAATGGGGACCTAATAGCAATTTCAACGGCTTGAGGGACTAATTCAAAATACCTTAAGAATTGCGGAGCCTAATAGCAATCTCAATGAGTGGGACTAATTTCAAAATATGAAAGATTTAAGGGACTAATATCAGGAAAAAAAACCATTTCTAACTTACCTTTAGACATTGGTCACATAAATCTTTAATATTTTAATAATAGTCCATCAAATCTTTGAAATTTCTATTTAGCCCCTCAAATCATATAAGTCACACCAAATTAGTCCTCCTATGCCATCTTAAATGTGGAGAATATACCATTAAATATCATTTTGAGTTGAATATCTAGTTAATACCCTTCTATCTCAATTTAATCATCCAACCCTATTCCTAAATGCAATACCCAAAACAAATCCAAAGATAAATCCATATCCATATCCAAACCAAAGCCAATATGTTCTTCTTTCAACATCCTGAATTGTAACCGAGACCAAATTTACTTCTGTGGGAATGGATGATAGAGAGGTTTGGAGGTTGTTTTGTATGGGTTGACTGCCTAAAGGTAGAAAAATCATTTGTCACTTCGCATTAAGCCGACAACATATTAGTCAACTGGAAGAAGATATTTACCAGAAGGACTACTTTAGAATCAGTTATATGATTTAAGGGACTAAATAGCAATTTAAAGAATAAAAGGACTAATACCAAAATATTAAAGATTGAGGATCAATTTAAAAACCTTTACATGTTATATGTAGTACTATATTTCTCATAAAGGTGAAACTGGGAACAGGATAAACATAAATGCATCTGACAAAAACACAATGTATAATACAAAGAATAAATGAGAAAATAAGTACCTGCCCGGTGTTCTCAAGACGCCCTTTATAGACCCTACCAAATCCCCCTTCCCCTATGAAGCATTCAGGCCTGAAGTTCTTTGTGGCCGCTGCAAGTTCTCGAAAGGTGAAAGTTTGGGAAGATATTTTAACACCAGAGCCATCTCTTGGACTAACTGATTCCCTTCTTCCACTCAAATTCCCTCTTGACCTAGTCCTATCAAGTCCTGGTAGTAAATTAGTCAATCAGAGCCATGTCTATTTAGAAGATTGCTATTAATTTTTAAGTAGTATCGACATTCTTCTATATTGTACATACGTGTGAAATTCCTTGCTGGTGAGAAAAGAAAGAAACTATATCAAGATATAATGCCTAATAAATATGAACAGTAAACAAAGGATGTATATGTATTCGCATAAAATGTCACTAAAACAATTATGCTTTCGCATCAAGAACTGATAAAAAGAAGCTCGTATGTATCCATGACACAGAACCTCCCCTCAATATCAACAAAATAAAACTAAAAAGAAACCAAATGTCTCAGAAAATAAAATTTTCCAACAACTAGAACCATAGACAACTCCTAATTCCTATAAGAAAATCTCACAAAATCATGAGTCATTTTCCCAAATAACAACTGAAGCTAGAATGTACAAACCCACTGAAACTGATTCAGAATGTAATAGACTGAGGTCTTGTTTCAAATTACAGGGAAGCAAACAAATCAATCCCATCTCTGATCATATATAATCAACCAAATCAAGATAAACTTCGATGATTATCGAGAAACTTTAAAACGCCCATAGCCACAATTGATTTGAATCCTACATGTTACAACAACGAATCACTAATCTTAGAGTATAAATTATAATCCCACCAGGCACATGTTTAAAAAACTAGATTTAGAAAGAAATAGGGTGTAATTGTGCAAACTCGCAGGTTACCTATAGGGGCATATTAGAGTATAAAATTATAGCTCTCACTACGATTGTGGAGTTGCTGGTGTAGTGGAAGAGGCTTTGATCACTAACAATATAAAAGCTGACCTCTGCCATCAGGGGGGTTGGCCTCCACCTATGCTAACACTCCAACAATAATAAAACAAACAAGAGTGTAAAAACCTACTGTCACCAATTGAATGGTATCATCTTAAACAGAGAAAATAAGCATAGAAACCATACTTCATTGAAGTTTAAAAGGTGCCAAGACTCTAATTCTAGTGCTTCGCTTCATATTATCTGTAGTTCAAAATTTGATTATCCAATAATCTCATCTCAACACTGAAATCATAACTAGAGGAATCAGAAGGAAATTATAATCTTCTGGAAACCATAAAACTGAGGCTTTAGTTCCCAAGGGAAGGCTCAGAAACAACAAACTTAAGAAAACTTAGACATCCAATACAGGTCAATAGTGTTTGTTACAAAAAATAAAGCCAACTGAATCAAACTCATAATATATTATTAATATTTTCCTTGTTTCATCTGTCTATAATAGACCAGAACAAGAAGAAGCAACCAACAAGATAAACAGATATAACCACATCACTGCAATATCCTAACTCAGAAACAAACCAAAGCTTCTTGTTCTCTGTCCGTCACAAAACTAAGCATAGTGAAACCACAAACTGAAAAGAGCAAAAAGGCACACATGTGAGATTATACTAGGATATCTATTACCCAATCTGAGTAAAAAAAAAAAAGAGGATATGCCATTTTCCCTTTGAAGGTATACAAAGTCGAAGTTTATTGAGTTGAGCTAGGCTACTATTAATAGTATCCAACATGCGGATACTATCAATGCAAATCCAAACTTCGGATTCTGAAAATTGAGAATCCAAAATGTGGGATGTGATCTAGTACACATGGACCATCTAGAACTAAAATTTTGAAAAGATTTTAGCATATTTTACCCATGTATCATATGTCGTTAAAATAAGTGTTTCCGAATTTTCATAAGATTGTTTAATTTTTTGCTCCTTGATACATAATTCAAAACACATCGAAATCTTTTGAAATTTTGGTTCTAGGTAGTTCACGCGTATTAGGTCACGTCAATTGGTTTGGATTTTCAATTTCACAATCCAAATTTTAAGATTGGATTGATAGTATCCACATGTTGCATCCACGATTGATGGTTGCACCTCAAAATCAACAAAATGCTAATAGATGCCACAGTTCAGCATAAATTTCCAAAAGTACTAAAATTTTATAAGCAATTTAACTTGATTACTTTGTAATCTATTTAGTCAACGGAGAGAGCAAAAGAAATGCATCTCAACTCAGTTTGTCTTTACGTGAGAACTATGGACTGGTTGACCTAAGATGTAGCAGTCATAATAATAATAATACAAAAGACATGTCCTCCGTAAAAAATAAATTGCCAGCTCAATTGTGCTCTAGCCTAATAAAATTGAGTCAAACCCACAATATAATAGAGTATAATTCAAATAGAGATTGACAAAAATCTACCATGGTTCATGACTAAAACCAGATCTCATAATCAGTTAGATTGACAGCAAGAGCAAAATCAATGTAAATTTTGGAATTCAGGCATCTACTCTTCACACCAATTATCTCACAAAATAGATGAAATTAAAACAAACACTGTGCCAATTAATCTCTAGTTCCCCAAAAATAACCAAATCACTAACTGATCATCAAGACAAATCATGATCCCGAGTCACATCAATTCATCAGTTGGATTAACATATTAACAGTATCAGTCCAATATCAAATTACCAGATACTAGAGCTTAACTTTGCACATCCAGTTCAAAATAAAGTATTTGATTTGGGAAGTACTCAAACAGAAATCAAATCAACCCGTCAGTAAACTTAAACACTTCGAAGAATTCAATCACTTACCTCGCTATCCAATTAACTCATAAAATGGATAAACTTGAAACAACCATGCGGACCCAAATGAGCTCTAGTACACCTCTAAAGTAACTAAATCACTAAAAACTCCTAAAATCATATCAACTCATAGATTGGATCAACATGTTAACATATCAATGCAATGTGCAACTACCAGACAACTAATCAAATAGAAATAAAACCCACGCATCAGAAACAAATTCAAACTGACCAGAAGGCAATCTATGAATCCGAGGTGGAGCCATGGGCTGCCCCTCTCTTCTATCAACAACCTTCCCATTGTTATTATTATTATTACTATCATTATTATCAGGATTATTCAGCTGCTCCTCCTCTCTCGAATGAAAGCAGCCCATGCCCACCTCCTAAATTATCCAAGCTCCCCTCAAATGATACAAGGATCCGATGTTTGAGCTGTTTTCTCATCAAAATCTTTCAATCAAGGCATCAAAATCTAGACTTCGCACCGGGCTCTGCATGGGTTTTTCGCATGGTTCAGATCCAAATCGAGGGGATGAGGAATCTGGTAACAGAGATTTGGGGGAAAATTTTTTTAAAAGAAATCTCAAGTGGTGACGTAAAGTTATTTATTTGGCGTGTGCTGATGTGAACAGTGGAAGAAAGAGAGAGGAGAAAGAAGGGCTGAGGCTGTGGGCTGAACGTGTTTACGGTGACGTAATCATCTGTTGGGTTTTTTTTTTTTTTTGATTATTTAGATAGTAGTCCCTCAAATCTCAAATAATTACTTTCACATTAATCTCTCAATTCTTTGAAAATGCTCACAAATCCTAAGGGACCTTGCAATTTGGTAATAAGTAATCGACTTTATTTCTCATGTACTAGTTTCGGACCGTGCCAAGCACAGATTTGAGTTAAAAATATTATTTAAAATTTAAACAGTTTGACATATAATTATCAATAATCACTCATAAAATTAAAATCAATTTTAGAAATTTTCTCCTTTCAGTTATTATATCAAAGCTTGAGCTCTGCAAAACAAAAAGAAGAAAATGATGGTGAAGAATAGATCTCAATGAAGAGAAACAAATCATTTCATATCGAATTCATTTATGCAAAAGTATACTTGGAGAAAGTCAAGTTAATAATTTTTCCTAAATTAAATCTTAATTTTATTAAAATAAATTTTTAAATCAAATATTGTTGACTTAGAACCTCAAAACTTTCAAGCAAGCAGTTTAACATGGAATTACCAAACAAACCACAGTGAGCTAAATTTTATTTCACAAATTTTTTAGGTATTTTGTGAAAGTGGTGTTTTGTCAAAGACGAAGAAAAATATTGTAGGCTATCTAAAAATTACAGCAGATAGCTAATCCCCATCAAACACTAATGATGGAACTTACAATTCGACGGCTTCTAAAAGACTACAATTTAAAGACTTTCACGTAGATCGATGAATGTTACAAATCAACGACCTTCACAACAACCGATGAAAGCTCTTATCAATGGTCTTCACAACCAATAATGAGAATTACAATCTGACGACTCTCACATTTCAAAGATCTAAAGCGAAGATTACAAAACAACGATCGTCGCGACGCTCTAACATAAGAGATTACAAGTCAACGATCTTTTCAACCCAAGACGCAGGACTCATCCCTGCATCCCCAGAGGTGAAGCACAAGTGGCCTCATTCCAGAGTCAAAGCTATGCAAACGCAGCTCCTAAATGCTGTAAACGCAGCTTCCATTCGCTGCCAAACGCAGCTCCTAAATGCTGCAAAACGCAGCTTCCAACCGCTGCCAAACGCAACTTCCAACCGCTGCCTAACGCAGCATCTAACCGCTGCCAACGCAGCTTCTAACAGCTGCCAACGCAGGTTCCATCTGTTGCCCAATGCAGCTTGCAAACACTGCGTTCAAATGCAGATTTCATTCCAGAATACAGGACCTTTGACTCGTTCAAACACGAGTTGAACGATTCTAGAAACCTTTTTCTCCCAATGATCTGAGGGATTTCCACCCCCACTTAGGAGCGGATTAAGGAGGCGGTTACACCTCATTCAGCCCCACTTAGGAGCGGATTAAGGGGATTGTTGCATCCATTAATCCCCTATAAATAACTAAAAAATTAGTTTAGTTGAGCGCTCTTTGGCTGGGACAGATCAAGAGAGATCTTTGGATCCTTGAGCATTTCCAGATCTAGAGATCAGCAAAGGGCATTCTTCGATAACAGGAGCTATCTACGTGCTTGTCTTGTCTAACCAATTACAGTTAAGATCAATTAACTCTTTTACAAGAGTTTAAACTCGCTCTGAGTTATCAACTCGTTCAGAGTTTCAAACTTGCCACACAAGTCCTCCACAACGTCAAATCGTGAGGAGAAGATCATGTTCCAGTGAAACAAGACGTTCGGATCGTCAACGAGAAGCAAACTCGACGGGAGCATTCGAGTGAGGCATATCATCACTACTGTGAAGAACCCAGAATTAAACAAATGGGAGAATCCAGATCATTCTCCTTTCTTTTGTAATAAAAAAATCCAAATTGTAATCGAGATCAAGAGAATACAAATCAAATTTCTTTCATTCTTTTTACTATAAATTTTTCACCAAACAAATATATCTAAATGTGGGTATCCAAAAAATTCACATTTAAAATAGTACAAAATAAGAAATAATTATGACCAATACCTGTGAACATATGAATAACATATTTTAATTTTGTTAAAATAATATTTTAAATCACATGCAACTGATTTAGAACTTCAAGCTTTTCCCAAATGTAATTATCGTTATTTATCTTTGATTGAAACATTGATTTATTTAAAGATGAAACGTAAAGTACTTTTTTCAATCAACTAATCAGATTTCAACCAATAAAAAATCACAAACAAATCAAGTGTAATTATAACCTCTGGTTATTACCTTAGGAATGTATCAACATCTATTACGTACCAAACTCATGCATAGCACGTACGGGTGAAAACTAATGGTGACAGTGAGACTCTCACATTAGTTAAAACTCTTACAAATGAAAAAAGATAGCTGATTAATAACAAAATCAAATTAGTCTATAAAACTTATTGATAATATTTATATACATGCACACACACACATATATATAGGGAGCACATCCTATGAGATACAAGGTTCTTATAGGATATGAGATGCATAGATCTTGATTATTGATTTAATCTTCAATAATCTCCACCATTCAATAAAACAAAAGAACATACCCAAATCTCACCATCTTTCCCGTTCTCGCAGTCACCCCTTGCCAGTTGTCACCGCCGCCACCATCCCTCTTCACCTCTGGTGCACCCTGCCCTTCACCACCGAATGCTACTCTACTACTGATTTAAGCTCCATAGGATTGTATAAATAATTCGTTAAACACAAGCATATGAAACAATTTTAGATTCTTTCATCGAAAAAAGCATTAGCCCACTTACAAGAGAAGAAAAATAATAATCATTTGTCATCTACACATAGTTAAAGTTTGTCCAACCATAAACATTTCATTCCATTCCCATTTGAACCAAAAACTATATTAAACAATGGTTGTACAATGGGTTTTAGAAATTCTTGCACTGAGCCCGGGAAGATTCTCGACCAAATGAGTGGTTTCTTTTCTTTTTTTTTGGGTTGGTGGGGGGGGAGGGGGTTGTTGTGGGTTTCGTTGGTAGACATGGGCAGCAGGTCGCAGCTGGAGGAGGCTTGGGGTTGGCTGTCTGAAAGGTGGAGAAAGTAGGGTTATAGGTTCTTTCTTTTTTTTTCTTGGATGGTGAATATTATTGAATGTTAAATCAATGGTCAAGACCTATGCATCTCATATCCTATATGAACCTCGCATCTCATGGATATGTTCGACACACACACGTACACACACACACACACCCTACATTAAAACAAAACCAAAAAACTTAAAAACTCACCAGATGATGCTACCTCATCTTCCTCCTCAAATTTTTTTGACACGTGTCATATCATCTAATTCGTCCATTTAAATTGCTATTACATATACATATATATATATATATATATACATATATATATATATATATGTATACATATATATATATATATATGTATATATATATATATATACCCTTTAAAAGAGGGAGTACCAAAAAACTTTTCCTAACCCAAATTACCCTTCAACTATTGTAAATATAACGAAGTTGTCCTCATCTTTAATTTCATTAACTTAACGAAGCTAAATTTTTTTTCCGTTGCTCCCAAATCAGAAGATGTAAAGCCTAAGGCCTTGTTTGGATTGAGGGGAATAAGGGTGAAGGGAAGTTAGGGGAACAATTCACCTCCATTCATCTTGTTTGGGAACATTTAGGAGGTGAAGTTATTCACCCTAGTTCCCCTTAGTTCACCCCCTAACAGTATAAAATTTGTTACCCCTCAAATTGGGGTGTAACCAAGGAGAAGGGAACTCTCTTCCCTTCCCTTTCATTCTCTCACCTAGTTTCCCTTAACTTCCCTTCACCCCCTACAAATCCAAACAGGCTCTAAAGCTTCGTTCATTCCCCTCTCCGTTCCATCAGTTATGAAATTCTTCCGGCAACGCAATCTCACTCTCTCTACCTCATCAATTGACGGTTATCAAATGGCAAAGGTGATTATTATCATCATCAAGAAGCTTATTATTATCCTCATCCTCCACAAACTTTCTCTTTCATCTTCTCCTCAAATATCAGATTTTAGGGAAGGATCAGGAAGTGAAGAAATTGAGCAAGGTTTTTATAGGACAATAATTTCTGGTTTGTCTTGATCAATTTATTAATTTTGATTTGATTTTTATTTTTATTTTAGTAATTAGTTCAATTTTTAAATTTTCTCGAAGGGGTTTACCTGATTTTTTCAGGTGAAGGCACAAGCTTCACGCACGGGGTTAGGAAGTATGCGGAGGAGTTCTGAAGGTTGCTGCCACAGCTAATGAACGGGAAGATTAGTACTATTCTTGATAATCAGCCAGTGGTATTAAAACTCTCTAATGACTTCTTCCTCTTAGTTGATAGTTGATGTAGTTGCTCTCTTCTTCCATAATTTTTGATCTCTGCTTTGGTGTTCTTTTGATCTCTGTTCCAGCTGTACGCAGCCGTAGTTTGTAGTGATGGGGTGTTTATTTACTCTCGTGCTTCTCGCTTTACCAATTTGTAGTACGTAGCTTAATCAAAACTTGTTGTTTAGCTATATGAGATGAAGTTTTGTATGGGATCCGGGACCATATCAAACCCAATCTGATTAGTTGGTCATAATAATATATTTTCGTTGGCTCTCCCTCTGCTGGTTATTTTTCTATACTTTTACCAAATTTAAACCCACTATTATGGGATGGGAGCTTGGTCTGAGCATATGGAAGTGATAAGAAAGAGAGAGTGCAAGTTTGGAAAGCCTGTTTCATTGGACTCCGCAAAGACACAAGGAGCTTCCAAGAGAATGAACTGTTTTGAAACATTGATTAGACCCCAAATATGGTAATGATCCTTTTCAAAAAAAATGGTAATGATCACACATGTGAATGATGAAGATTTTATGTTAAATGTTTTTTACAAGGAAAACTTTGTATGTTGATATAGAAAATTTTTATGTTTAAAAGATTTTATGTTAAATGTTTTTTACAAGGAAAACTTTGTATGTTGATATAGAAAATTTTTATGTTTAAAATGTGTGGTTCCTTGGTACTTGTACTCCTTTACCTATGCTTTCTATATATAGGATTTCAAAGATGAAAATTTGTCTGCAATACTCTTTCTATATATTGGGTTTTAACGATGACTAATCTATCTTTACAGAGATATGTGTGAGGAATTATGTGTTCGACCATTGGATAATTTAGATGTTACTAGAAGATTGTCTACCAACTTGGTTTCTATTGAACAAGTTGCAGTAACTTAGATCCGTTTGATTACAACTCTTGATTCTTTTTTTTTAATTATAACTCATCCACTTTGTGATCCATTCTCACTGAATCTATGTAATCTCTACCATAATTCTCATACATAAACCAGGTAATCTTCATTTAAGCATGATAGTTTTAAAAAGTTACATATACTATTAAAACAAATGGATATCATTTGTTAACTAAGGAACGAACGTGAGGAAGAATGAAAAAATAAATGATTTTTCCATTGTCCAACACACTAAGCACAAGATTAACGAGAAACTAAAAATCTTGTCCGAACAGAGTGTTCCTTCATTTTGAAGTTGTTTGCCATGATAACCAAGACTACTTAATGTAATGTTTTATAGTTCACTACATAAGCTTGTCATACTGCCAATCTTTCTCTTATGGCTAAATTTAAAGTGGGGACAACTTAGATTATCCTAACATATGACATTTGTATAGTGTGTGATTCATAGGCACTCACCCACACATTTAAGAAACCCTAAAAGTATGAATCTACATGACCTATACATGAGTAATTTAAATTTTCTAAACTAATTTTTTCCCTATTCAACCTGAAATAATTCACAATAAGGGAACTGCCTAATAATGTGTTGTTTGATAAACATGCACCTTATTGTGAATTATTTCAGGTTGAATAACTATTGCAATGATTAACTGATGAATTTTATTTGTTAGGACAATTTATGAATTATAAACATATGCACATATAGTTGTTTGATAACTATTGCATGCTTTGATTATTATTGCAGTTATTAGCTCAAATTTATCATTCGATTGTGTGAATCTAAATACATATTCAGAGAATAGTGCACTTTATTACTTTAAAATTGCATGTGAACTATTTTTTGGTTATCTCTACTGCACGTAAACTATTGTTGATGAGTCCTTTGCAAGAAATCTAATGACCCAGAACAGCTTCCTGAACCTGTTGAGAGGAAACAACAGATTTCTGCAGAGAGGGTAGCTAATTTTGCAAAATTGTTATTCTAATTTATTTCTTTTAGTAGTCCAAATTCAATTATTTCTATTTTGTGACATGGCCAAGTTCTTAGTGTTCTTAAGAGGATAAGCGATGAAGATTGACTCCTACTAGGTTTGAACCCGAAATATGCTCGTCCAGATTGAATGATATTACAACTTCTTCCTATTCCACCACCTCCTGTAAGACCATCTGTTATGATGGACACCTCTGCTAGAAGTGGGGGTAAGTTTTCTCCGTTTCGCAAAATCATGGACAACATGTATAGAGTTACAATGCCATTGCATCACATTTTCTTTTTATTTTTAATATAATTGATCAAATGAAAACCTTACAGGACTCATTATTACTTACTATGTAGTAGTTCATTCAAGACTTGGTAGAGTTATTTGGAGTTGTTCTGATTATTCTTTTTTTGGGGTTCGGTGTATTTGGGGGGCGCGGGGGATGGAAAATGCGTTGCTCAAATTTCCATGGTTATGTGGCCTCTAGACTGGGGAGCATTTTGGAATGAATGAATGATAACACTTGTTTCATATGATGTTCAAAAATATTAACATGCACTTTGTTTGATCAACTTCTAATATGAGTTCTTGTATTTCAATAGGATGACTTGACTCATCAGCTAGCAATGATAATCAGACACCATGAAAACTTGAGACGTCAAGAGAGGAATGGAGCTACTGCTCACATCATTATAGAGTTTGCCCAGTTATTGCAATTTCATATTGCAGCTTATTTTGATAAAGAGCTTCCTAGACAGCCAAGGATATGTATTATGATGTGGGTTATTTTTTTATTTGTACAGTCAATTTGAGCTGCTGTTTCATTGTAATTGCAGGCTACACAGCGGTCTGGACAACCTATCAAGTCTATATGCAGTAGACTTAAAGCAAAATAAGGTCTGATTAGAGGGAACTTGATGGGAAAGCGTGTTGATTTTTCAGCACAAATAGTAATCACCTCTGACCCAACAACTAATATTGATGAACTGGGTGTGCCTTGGAGCATTGCCTTAAATCTGACGTACCAAAAAATTGTGACTCTGTATAACATTGAACGATATAATCTATTTTATTCTGACAATGTTCAACTATTTCTATTTTTCACATCTCAGATACCGGTTTAATTTAGCTAAGACTTGATTTATATATTGTCAGATTGAAGGAACTTGTAGAATATGGCACTCATCCTCCCCAAGATAAGGCTGGTTCTTCTCTCACATGTATGGACGCAAAAAGAAAAAAAAGGGAAAATAGAAAAGAAGGAAAATGGAAAAGTCTTGTTTTATGAGGACGACACTCCAAGTTAAAAAAGAAAAAAAAAGCATCATACATTCAAGCATTTTGCTTATTAGTTGTTTTTTTCAGTACATATTTGATCATCTGATAAAGTTTCATATGGAATTGAAGAAGTCAGAAGAGCGCAATGCATCTTTTTTTATTATTGAGCAAACACATTTATGTTATTTATCTAAATTATGTGCACATTTGGACAGGGTGAAAATTACTTTGAGATAGATTTGGATAAGCACAGATTCGGTTACATTTCAAGAAAAGGTTTTGAAACATTTTTAGACAGACTGAAGCTTTGCATATTGGATGTTAGCTTAACTATTCAGGTAATTTTACAGTTAACCATCTCTTTAACATGCCTCTATGTGCTCAAAATAACTTCATCATGTATCTGAAACAGGAAAACAAATCTGAGGAATTGCCAGAACAAATTTTGTGTTGTGTGCGACTTAATGGAATTGATTATTGTAGGCGTATAAAACTGCTTATAGGTCCCTTGACACAGCTCGGCGCGATGATTCGACAAATCGACGAACGTTCAAGCAACGAAACGAACTAAAGAGGCTACAAAGCTAACGAACTGCATGTGAACAACGTTAGTGGTTCGGGGAGTCGACGGGTCTTCCAACAAAATGGATTTGAACTCAAACACCGACTGAGTTTACTGCCAAATCCGGAATCAGGTCAACAAATCAACAAAACAACCGAACAACGGACAAAACAACCGGAAACAACGGAAAACGACAAAACCAGCGCACCTGGGGGAACTCGGCCCGAACCGAACCACCCTAAGGTGGCTCGGCCCAAGCCGAGCCACCCTAGGGTGGCTCGGTGGCCGAGCCACCCCAGGGTGGCTCGGCCAAAGCCGAGCCTGTAGGCGTCAAAAATTGCCGATAGGTCCCCACACGTGGCTCGAGATGGAGAGGAGACGATGAACATCGCTATTCGAGTCACAGAAGCTTATTTGAAGATGACGAACGCATGAAGTGAGTCGACGGACCATGCGAAGCAACGGAATTTTGGAATAATCGCCGGCTCCTTAATGTTTGATATCTCATAATACCATAGCTACAAAAAAGCCACATTCAAACAATGAAGTATCACATATTAGATATAAATGTCACATGTAAATGGCAATAATCACATACCAGCAGATAATATCACACATTAACTACAAACATCACATATCAGGGCAAATATCACACATGGGTCACAGTGAACACATATAACTAGACAATATCACATGTAGAAGACACTTATCACATAAACACATATTAACTATAAATATCACATGTCATATATTAGTGTTATATATCACATGTAAATGGAAATAATCACGTGTAACAAGATAATATCAGATACAAACTACAAATAAATAGCGGACTTAAACAATACCAATTAGATACAAATGTCACATATAAATCTCAAATATCACATATAAAGGGTAATGATCACAGATAAGGTGAAATGTCACATATAAATCTCAAATATCACATATAAAGGGTAATGATCACAGATAAGGTGAAATGTCACATATAAATCTCAAATATCACATATAAAGGGTAATGATCACATATAAGGTGCAAATGTAACATATAAATCTCAAATATCACATATAAAGGGTAATGATCACATATAAGGTGCAAATGTAACATATAAATCTCAAATATCACAGTTAACTCACCGATAGCAAGGGAGCGCAGCCGCTAAGATATGTCAGCCCCTTCGTCGCTTTCTTCACAGCCTTGAAGGAGTCCCACAATTCCTTATAGATGATTGTCGCCCATGGGAAATGATCAACCGCATCTACTCGAGCCACATATTTGAACATATGCCGCGGTGCATTCATTCTCGCGGTCGGGGTCCATATCATTGTCAATTGATAGAGGATTTGAAGCATAACAAAATCCGAAACATCGGATTTCTTTTTGGACCGAACCAATTTCTCCAATAGGGCCTCAAGGTAGCCTCGGCCACTCTTGTATTGTGATTGTTGCTTGTTGCTGAAGTATGTGGTCCATATCCTATTATCCATGTCGCGATTGCCTTCGGGTTTCTCCCCTTCATCATTAAACCGAGTATGTTTGCGCACCCAATTTAGATCAAACGTGTACGCTTGTTTAGTCCCGGTTTGGCTATCATTGAAGAAAAACTTCCCCGTGCCTAAATCCACATTATCCAGCAGCAGCGTGATGGTGGCCTTGTCGGATGGAATCATACCAAAACTAACATAGTTCTTGAAATTGGAGGATCCATAAGCCCTCCAATGTTCAGACCTCATTTGTGGGACAATGCCATCCATAAATTGACAATATCCACGGATATTGCAACAAATTCTTATATCATGTTTACTGTAAAAGACAACACAACAGATACTAAATCAACTGTCTGAGATGATGAATTCACAATGCCGAAACTGACTTAGGGTTCTAATGCGTATAAATTCACAATGCCAAACAAATTAAATGAACAGATGTGAACAATTGGGTAGATACTTACATCTCAGGCTTTATTGTAGCTGATTCAGATGATGAATTCGACATCTGTATTTTCAGCAGCGTCACTGTGGGGTTCGGTGAGGATGAGAGATTCTGGCGGTCGACCGGGTTGCGGTCGTCGGTGGGGGGGTCCTTGTCGGCGGACGAGAGTCGACGAAGTAAAGGAGAGTCGCCGAAGAGGAATACGACGAGCGGCGGCGGATTTCAGAAGAACAGGGTTTCGAAGTTGGCGACGAGCGGGTTTCGAAGAAGACGAGTCGTGGCGGCGGTCTACGACGAAGACGACGAAGTCGAAGAGTCGAGGATGAAGTCGAGGATGACGATCTAAAGGGTTCGCCAAAGAAGAAGGCGACGAGCACGAAGTCGAAGAAGTCGAGGATGCAGCGGTCTTCGATTGTGACGACGAAGACGAACACGAAGTCGACGAACGAGACGGCTGAAGCGTTGTCGTCGGCGGCGGAGGAAGAGGGTTCCGGAAGGGGGAGAGATTCAAACTCTTTGACGGAGGTTTGAGGGTTTTGGTAACAGCGCTGCTCAGAAAATGACGGTGGGGATGTGACTTTTTCAGTTTTAAATTGCCAAGGGTAATTTGGGGATTTATTTTTGGGTTATGGGTCTGTATACTATTTGGGGGCTTTGTTGCATTTTTTTCTGTATAAGGGTTTTCCAGTTATGATTCTTAGGCTGGGGGTGGGGATGCATAGCCGAATTTTATTTGGTTCCCCCAAGCAATTTTCCCTTTTATTTATTTGGAGAGATCGGGATTTTTTATGGTGTTTACTTGTTTTTTTTCAAAACAAATTGAGGGAAAATTTCCCCCCAATTTTTTTGGGTGAAAACAGAGTTGCCCCAACGGTTGGAACCGTTGGGGCTATTAAAACTTGCCCAACAGTTCCAACCAACTATTGGGGCTGCCACAGTTTGTACTAGTGAGGAGAGGGTCCGATATAATAGGTGTCAAGTAAAATAAGATTGTTTTGAGGTGCGGAAAAATACTCCCGAACCAGAGAGGGAGACTCTCTGGACTACTCCGGCGTTTTCTTGGATTGATAAAGACTCCTGGGATAAGTTGTGTGCTTATTATGATAAAGAGGACAAGAAGGTGTACAGTTTAAACTAAAATCAAATGTTTAGTAGGTAATTCATTCTACCTTTGTTTAATTACAAATCTAAATATAATAATGACATGCAAAAGGAGGCAAGACGTAATGCGCAGAATCGGGCGTCAAATTTGCATGGTCAAGCAACCTATACAGGTGGCTCGAAGAACATATGTCAGGCTATGGATCAAGTGGTAAGTTTACTTCTAAAAGATATTTAAAATTAATATAAATATAATTCCCTATAGATGATGATTATGATACACGGGTAATAGATCGATTCAAAGACATATGTCGGCTAGAGTGCCTAAATCGAACTTGCTGTCATTATTTTGTGCTTAGATCAAACTTTTACGAGCAGAGGGATGCCATTATTTATGTACAAGTTTTAAATTGAATAATGGCTGACGCATTCATGAGTATCAGATATACGTAGGAATATATGTAGTAGTAACAAAGAGGTTTGAACCTGAGACAAGTCTGAGAAGTTTGATTACTTGGCTTACATATGAAAAATGAGATCCTTTTGTTTTGTGAGCAACTACATTTTGTGTATCTTATAACTCAGGTTTATATTCTCTGCCATAAAATTGTATTGGATTTTAGAACTTTTGGTTCCACAGAAATCTAGTTTCATTATACAAAGAATTAAACACCTATAATTCTTATTGATTTGATCAATTATATATACTACATATTTTTGGTGAATTGCAGAAAGCTTAAATCATTGAGGATGGTGGCACACCTACAATGTTAAAACTATATTTGGGTACCCACTCGTCATCGGTAGATACGATCACCGGAGAGTATACATACCCGGACAACAACACTAAGGAGTATTGCGTAAGTCTTCTCGATGAATATATGTTGGACAAATTTTTTAAAACGACTGTTTTTTAAAATTAATTAGTGAAACCGACCCCTCAGAAAAAAATTGAGCAAAATCGACCATATGAAGTGCACGGGACTGCTAGTCCCGTGCAGTTCTCCCAAATTACGCGATTTTGCTCAACATCGCGAATCCTCTTCCTCCGTTCGCAACCAGTCCCCCGCTTCCACTTCCACTCCGTTCGAAACCAGGTGGCTGGATTCAAAGTCCAAAGTCCCAAATTACGCTCAACATCACGAATCCTCTCTCTCCTCTGTTGTCATCCTCTCCCCCTCTCCCGTGACCTTCCGTTCTCCCCCTCTCTCCTCCGTTCTCATCC